TGAGCTACCTTCGAAACCCTGTGAAGTAGCTAAAATCTGCTCTACACACACCAGCGAACAGAAGAGTTACTACTTCCATATTTTTCTTCTTTTTTTCGAATGCTTTGTATGTGGTGTAGTTTGATGTCCATGTAGCTAGGGGCAATGTGCTTAGAATTATTTTACAGGCGAAAAACAGTTCAAAAAGTTTCCAGGTGAGGACAGATGTACCATAATGGATGTGTTGTGTTGGCTTCGAAGTAGAATATTCCATTTGCTTATATGATTTCTTGACAAGCAAAGAGCTTTCTGGCTTTCAATGTAGTCCTATTAATTTAGTCAGATCTCAAATTCTTAATGCTCCCTGTTAATATTGGGAACCACTAATGTAGGTAAATTGAAAATAATTGTTACAATTTTGTGTAGCAAAGTTTGTTCGTTTGTGTCAGAGGTGAGGTTGGGAGAGAAGAATTCTACAGAAGTTGAAATCGCAAGTAAATAATTTTATTTTATGTTTGTATGTTTTAAAGTTTATTTATTTTGAAAGAGAGAGAGAAAATAGGGGAGGGGCAGAGAGGAAGGGAGAGAGAACCCCTGACAGGTTCCACACTGTCAGCGCAGTGCCTGACACGGGGCTCAAACTCATGAACTGTGAGATCGTGACTGAGCTGATCGTGACAGAGTTGCACGCTTAACTGACTGAGCCACCCTGGCGTCCCGCACGTAAACAATTTTAAAGAATGTAAATTCAGTTTCACTGAATAATACAAACTCAATTTAAATAATATGAAAGAAGCCAACGTGTCAACAGTGAGGCAGGGAGGCACTCTCAGTGGGAGAGCATGGGGGATGCAGACGCAGGTGGGAGGCTCGCAGAGGCAGTGCCATAGTGGGCTGTGCGTGGGCTTTGGAACTGTTCGCTCTCTGGTTCTGACACTCGGTAGGCAAGTACCCATGAGATCTCCCATCTGCAAAATGGAAAAGAATACCTACCTCACGGAACGCTTGTGCATATTTCGTGGGAAATGTTCTGGTCCGTGATGCTCAAAACATGTTACCTTTTTCCATTTGCTAAAACCAAAGTTCTTTCAGCTTTTTGGGAACAGAGACTAGAAGAGAAATTTGTCTTAGGGACTTTTTACAGAGGTCTTTAAAAACCATGGCATCGTGTTATTCTTGGCCAAGGATAATTTAAGGTAGTGAAAAATAGGTCAGAGGACGTTAAATTAATGTATTTGTATTAGAAACAATGACCCATGGTTATACTGCTCTTTTAGAAGTTATTTAGGACATTTTGCATGCTAAGCAGCATGAATGCAGTTTTCGAATTACTGGTGGCCTCCACATTAGTAAAATGGGCTTTTTCCTTGTGCGTTATTGATATTAAAATGCATTTCTCTTTGTTCTTGAGTAGTAACCCACTTCCATTCTTAATTTTGTTCTGCACAGGCTAATATTAGTGCTAGTTTATCACGTTTGGGCTCTCAGTAGTGGGGCACGACTCTTTGAATGTGTCTAGACATGGCCTAAAGACACATTGACCATGGGGAAAAAGCTGGCATAATAAGTTTATTCTGGTTATTGTCCAGAATATTTATCCATCCCTCCCAGAAATACCAGCATCCTGTTCTTTTCCTTTTCTACCCCCTAACCTCCCCCTTCCCAGACCCTTGCTTTTATACTGTCATTGCTGTGATAAGAGACTTTTTCCTAACAAAAATAGAAGATACTATAAAATGCAGTTCCTGGCCTGTCATTGCAGTTCCTTAACACATGCGTTCAGTGTGTTGCAGAAATTTGGTCTGGGCTTCTCAGATCAAATAGAATTATCCTTTATTCAGAGGGCTGTCCCCCATGGACACTGTATGAGACTTGATGTTGTTTAGCATTTGGAATCATTCTTTTCTCTTGAATTGGGAGTAAGAATCAGCAGAAACTGCCGTGCTATGGCAGTCCCAACCTAATTCCACAGAGTCCATCTATGGGGATAGTATTTTTGGTAGTTGGGAAGTATTACATAGGGAATACTGCATACCAATTAGTTGTATTAAAATATATATTACGCACAGCTTTGTACTCGGCTCAAAAAGTTTCCTTGACAACATCATTTAACTTCTTACTGTTCTTTTCATGTTGCTAGTATAAATATCTAATATGTTTTTGTTCAAAACATTAACTAGGCTTCAGTGTAATCTTTATTAATACAGATTTGTTATTACAAGAAGACTGCTGAGTTATGATAATTTGCACAGCAGGAACAATAAAATATCCTCTGTCTTCTTGGTTCTATCTCAGAATGCTTGGCTTCTCTGTTCTTTCAGAGCACACCAAAACCTTCCATGATACCCTTTACAATCATAATGAAATCTCAAAAGCATTCTTATAAGCAAAAGCCGTGTGTTTTCAAAGGTGAACAAAATGGGAAGGCCCAAAATTGCAAATAGATTCAAAAAGTCACAGATAAGTTACAAATGTCCTCTTTTAATGCCTTTAATTCTCTCTGTTCATGTAGCCCGAACTCCCCACTTCCTGCGGATTCAGAACGTGGAAGTCAATGCCGGCCAGTTTGCCACCTTCCAGTGCAGTGCCATCGGCCGGACTGTGGCGGGCGACAGGCTCTGGTTGCAGGTATGGTAACTCTCTGTCTCCTCCAGAGGCAGGAGTACACGCCCCCTGGGAAGGGGCCCGGGGGTCTGGGTCAGTGTCACGTTGCTGATAGAAGGTTGATGCCCTGAGTTGTCTCTGTTCCTTTCCTTCTTTATTAATAAGTTATCAGATAAGAATTCTAGATAACCGAACTGTTTTTCGCAGACCTTTAAAACATTTTTCTGTATTTTTTCCCTTCGCTTCTGCTTAGCCATCTTGCTTTGAAGATCTGGTTGTCAAAGTACTTTCAGAGCAGGATATTAAAGTACCAGATATAGAGCTCTTCCCTACCCTTCCTCTGGAGAAATACCCAGAGCATCGCTTACATGTGCGAGTGCACACACACGCTTGTAGGCCTTTTTATAATTTGAATTTCCACAAGGGGAAAAGCCTCAGCTTAGAAATTAACAACATATCTTCTACTTTTAAGTATTTAAGCATACGTTTTTAGTGTAGTCATAACTTGTGTGTCTTGTTTTCCAATCCTTCAAATTCCCCCATACGTATTTTGCATGGCAGATAGTTTCATGGATTTGTCCACGGTCGTGGGAATTCTGAGAGAATGCGTGGGATTAAGTGACTTGTCCCCTCTAACCAGAATGCCACGTGCTTCTTTAGGCTCTGAGTTTGATTCCCTTAACCTGTGGCATTCTCCAATTTCATTCTTGTTTCTTTCTTTTATGCACTGATCTGCAGGATGCTCACTCTTTACCGGGACTAGTGTTGATTCCCGCCCACCCCTCTTTCCTTATGGATCCTGTAGTTGACTTTGTTTTGGTTTGATTAATTATATACTTATTTTAGTTTGCTGCTGAGCTAACTTCATGACTTAACCCCTTTGTGTATCTGTTCCATTCCATCATGGCTTCCACTTCACGCATGCTGACCTTTCCTCTGTGCGTATGACCTGTCCTCCTCTCTTCCCTCTTCCTCAGTGTCACAGTGACTGTGCCATGTCACATTTGCATGACACTCTATAACTTTGAAATCCCTCTTACCTTTTTGTCATCACAAGTGAAATAAATGGTCGTTTTTATTCCTCCACTTCTGGGGAAAATGGAAGATGGCCAAATGTCCTCTCCCCGTATTCAACAACGTGGTGACAACTGGGGAATACGTTCTGGAGGATTCTTCAGTAGTCTTGGACCCTCTGCATGATTCCTCACCCTTCTACCTTGATGTCATTGTTTTCTCATCTGCTGCTCTCCCTGCGAGAACATCCCTGGCCAGGAAGGAGGAATGTAAGCAGAGGACTGAGATTGCATGCACCAAATTCATCTTTACCATTTTCTTCTCTCTAAAAGTTTGTACTCGCTACTGTAAGAGATTTTGCAGCCCATGAGAACTGTGCTCAACCCTGATCGTCAGTATTTGACTTTGCTCCTTCCTTTATATCCCACTTCCCAGTTCTTTTAGGATCTTGATGTGAGAAACTGAAAATTATTTTTCTTAGTTAGCGGTTGTTTGGTATTTAACTCCATCAAGATGGTCTGTGTATGGTAATTGATGAGACAGACATTTTTAATTGGCATTTTCCACAATGCATTAGCTGCCTCCTAAAAATGACACTATCCTGTCATCTTTGATTAATCTCTAGAAATCTTAATTTTTCATGGAAAATAGTTTGGGGCTCCTGATATTTGTGTTAATGTTACTTCAGAGAACACAATATAAAATCTAAGCTCTGGCCTCAACAGAGTCTTAGATATTCCTAAGAATTTACAGGCACATTGAGGATACAATTTACTTTTTTTGTTTTTGCAAATGTCCTGGGTTTGGGATGCCTTTGGTTCAACTTCAGCATTGCCTTGGGCATTGGGGATCTGTAACTACTTTCTTCTACAGAGTGGGAGATTTTTAAAAGAGAATCTGTCACATAATAGGGAGAGAGCTAGCTGCTGTTTTGCAAAACAGGTCTAAATGCAGCGTCTGAGCCCTCACTCCATGAGAGTCACATGGGGAGTTTTTAAAACCTTCCTGATCTACATCAGGATTCTGATTTAATTGGTCTGTGGTAGGGCCCTGCATTTGGGGCTCCCCAGGTGATTCCAGTGTGTGCCCGGGGTTGACGATCACCAGTCTGAAGCAAAGTGCAACACATGTTCCAAATCAGGAAAGAAAAAGCCAAAACCTAATGTTGTATAACTGGTATCTGTATTCAGTCGCCTCGATCTGACTGTCATGTTGAATTTCCCATGTCCCCAGACTCTTGTTTTTGTTCTGTTAAATTTGATCATTAGTGTTGATAAATTGTTTTTACAATCCATCCACTAATGCCTTCCATCATCTGTTACCCAGTCTTTCCTTGCCCTTCTTGGCATCGGTGACCACCTGTTGCCCTGCAGCTTTCCACGTGGTCATGCCCTAAAGGGCATGATACACACAGAGGTGTTGTGACTTTGAAATTCTCAGTGAATCTTAGTCTCTCCTGGACATGGCATGCTATTTGGTTTGTGAATCTTTGTGATGTGAGAATAATTTTACTGCTGAATGATTTATTTCCTCTCGTTGCATAGGCATCTTGTAGGGAGGTGTTTACTTTATTAATAACTGAGGAAATAAGACCAGTGTCCTTCACTTGCAAGAATGGTTTCTATTAAACTGTATTTGTGCAGAGTGGCTTCCAGCGGTAAGGAGGATTTACAGCACGTGATGGTTTCACGGAGCCCTCCTGCCCTCCTCTTGCCCATGCCCTGGCCTTTGCCTCGGGTCATTCAGTAGAAATTGTGGGGAGAAGCAAACCTGGAATCATGGACCAGGTCTTTCTAGTCTAGAGGTACGAATATGGGCATGTCTTCATTACCCCATTGCTATAACAGTTTCAAAAATGCTTGTCTGCATACAAAGTCACTCACATCCGCAAAGAAACGCTGAGATCCAGGCAGAAAAATGAATGAGAAAAATATTTTTAGCTCTTTTTTCCTGTAATTTGAATCTTCTCAATGGTAAGTCAAGGTTTTGAACTGAATAATACATTTTTCACTGGGGAACATTGATATTTTGGAGTATAATCATTTGTAATAATTTGGTTTACTTGTATTACCATATTTTGAGTTCTACCATAGGCATTTGCATAGAATTTCATCCCTGTATCCCATGGTCTTCGACTTCTTTTATAGATGGGTTTGGGGTACAGGATTGTGCCGGGTCACCAAAGTAAGTGGCATGGCTGGGGCTAGTACCTCTGTTTCTTTTACCTCACCACTGCTTGATTCCACCATCCTATGCCATCTTCCCATATCCCAGTGCTAGGTGAATAGGTAATATGTACTTAGCACCCTGTTGGAAGAATTTGGATGTGACTGACCTTGCATGATTAACATCAGGGAGCCACCATGACCTCCCCCCCGCCCAAAATGCATATGTATTACATGTCCATATCGATCCACCTCTATGAAAAATGGCCAGTGGCTTGATTGTTTAAAATACAGATTAAATATGATCACTGTCAGAGCCTTTCACAAAAAGACGGTACACATAAATCTGATGATGACACTAATGAAGAAATGTTTATGATTAACAGATGTGTCCCATCTGCTTACATTTTCTCCCATCTCAACTGTGGGCTACAGGTTATTGTCATCATAGAATTGGGTGTTCTAGAATACAGAATAGCAAAGTAAAGCACAGTTCACAAGCATCAATTAGTATAGAAGCAAAAGACTTCCTACTTTCCAGACAATGAACAGTAGGAAGACCGCATCTACAAAACTGTTTTTTTTTTTTTTTTTGTAGTTCAAAAGTGATGTGCAGTGCATTTGTTGAAGATGCTTGCTATATGCTATCAGATACAGCAATCTATGCATACAGCAGGGACTGTAACTGTGGGAGATACTCAGATGAAATGTATGTGTAAAATCATTCAAGCACCCAAACACGACAGTATTACCCGTTACTATCAACATTCTGATCACTGTGGAGCCTACCGTTTGAACATATCGTGGAGTATATGTAGATATAGAATACAGAGAAGAGAAAATGGGATTTTATATGTTCTTTTTTTTAAGTTTATTTATTGAGAGAGAGAGAGCGAGAGCACGCGTGCACAAGCAGGGGAGGGGCAGAGAAAGAGGGGGACAGAGAATAGCAAGCAGGGTCTGACAGCAGGGAGCCCAACGTGAGCCATGAGATCATGACCTGAGCTGAAATCAAGAGCTTGCTGCTCAACCAAATGAGCCACCCAGGTGCCCCTGGATGTTCTTCTGTTTTACTTACATGTTTGCTGACAGGCAATTTCTGACATACGTGTTTTTTATGTAGTCCTAAAAAAACCCTTATGGGGGCGCCTGGGTGGCGCAGTCGGTTACGCGTCCGACTTCAGCCAGGTCACGATCTCGGGTTCGAGTTCGAGGCCCTCATGCTCAGGCTGATGGCTCAGACACCTGGAGCCACCTCATTGTTCTGTGTCTCCCTCTCTCTCTGCCCCTCCCCCGTTCATGCTCTGTCTCTCTCTGTCCCAAAAATAAATAAACGTTGAAAAAAAAAATTAAAAAAAAAAACCCTGATTGTATGATTGTATTAAGATTACTGTTGTTCTTTCTTAAGTATTTTATTTTAATTGGTTTTTCTTTATTTATTTTGAGAGAGAAAAGAGAGTGGCATGGGGGAGGGACAGAGAGAGAGAGAGAGAGAGAGAGAGAGAGAGAGAGAGAATCCCAAGCAGGCTCTGCTCTGTCAGCACGAGCCCAGCATGGGTCTCAGTCTCAGGAACTGTGAGATCATAGCCTGAGCTGAAATCAGGGGTCTGATTAACCGACTGAGCCACCCAGGTGCCCCTTAGATATTTAAATTTTTATTTTCCTACATAATACTGTTTCTCCTGAGATTAGTGTTTATAACCTTTTTAAAATTTTCAATAAATAGATAAAGATGATCACCAAGGCTAATACTGATGGTCACAAATATGAAGATGGGTTGTGCACCTTCTTTTCTAGGGAACACAGACCACCTTGCCCTCTTCCCCTGAATCTCTGTAGTTTGGG